TTTTCGTGAAATGTTTGCTAAAGTAAAGGCAATTAAATATATTTTCTCAATCGTGGTTCAGATTTTTTCTTTCTTTTTTCTGAAATAGAGCAGCTGAATATGTTTATAATAATAGAGGTTTTCATTTTCGATGAACTCTCTGGATCTTCGAAAATTTGAAAGTTATAAATAAAGCGAATATGTAAATGAGGTTTTAGAACCACTAATTGCATTTCTGCATTTCGTTTATTACATTTTTTAAAATTAAATGTTTAAAATTATAATAACGAAGCTTAAAAAAATTTTTATTTTCATAATTTCGTCTTACCGATCACGAACAAAGGAAAAACTACCCTTGCCCTACTGTAATTCGTGAACGTTCGATTTTACTTTATAAAAAATAATACAATGTGATTCTATATTATCCTCGAGACACGTCTTGTCTGTCGATCTACCGCGCAATTTTCGTGTTCCAATGATGTTATGATTTTGATGCCAACCCTCTTCCAGATGGCTGAGTTTACAAGACATTTTATTCAGTTTTCGGAGCTCAGTCGACTTGTTTACAACGAAGACGTTAACGTCGCGTGCCGAGCAAGCAAATACAGTTCTGCTGCTGCTGCCGCTACTATATTTACAGACATTTTCCGAATCACTAACCTCGAGGCGCATGTTGAAAGAAACAAGGGAAGGAAAGAGGAATAACTACATTAAATAAGCAAGAAAAAGGGAAACATAGAAAGTTTGCATTCGGCACGGCTGCGCGAGAGCGGGAGTGAAAGTAAACGGGCGGCGAAGAATGCAGAAAAGGGACGGAAGATGGCGTCTCTCTCTGACAGAGGCACAGACGTAAAACGGTTGAGGGATGGCGAATGTGCTGTAAGCGAAGACAGTGGCAATGCTGCGAATGGGGCTCAACAGTCGTTCTTGAGCAGCATCACAGAGCTCTTTAGACTGGAAAGAATTCATATGTGAGTAAAATGATAGCCACGCTTGGTATGTAGTATCGTAACCTGTGAAATGAGGGCATTTGATAGTATAGTTAAAATAAGTATAACAGTGTAATAGATGAAAATTCTTCAACATTTTCTGACTAGTCGTTACTACTTTCGAATTAAAGAGAAGCTATTTTAATGTTGCGAAGAAAAACGATTTTTCGACCGACAAACTCGTATTTGTGGACCATCATGCCCACAAATTATTTCTTATATATTTAGTTGATAGCGTCCGATAATACGTTGTGAAGTCAGAATCCACGTTTTGTAGGCCCTCGTTACCCCAATGTTGCTTTATGATGAAACGTCTCTTCGTCCGTCCATCCTTCCTTATGTCTTGGATTAACGGTAACGGCTAAACCGTATGCAGAACTTTTATCATTAATGATATTCACTGATGAATGTGGCCTCCACTGACATCGCGCATACTTCGATTTTGGGGGTACTTAGTATGACCCCCTCAAAATTTTCTCCAGAATGTTTTCCATTTTTTTATTTAATTTATTTTTTCGTGGACAGTGTGAAGAACGTTTATGAGAATTACGCAATGTGTTATTCGTGAAACTCTACTAAATTTTAGAAAATTGAAAAAAATACAAATAACGCAATAAATAGGTATTAGTGTGCCACTAGTAAGTTTAAAATCGCTTATATCATCACTATTAATATTACAGGATTGTTTATAGGATTTTGCATTGATAACCACAATATATTCAAATCATCTCTTATGATGTTACCAGAAAACAATTTTCTGTAAAAATCGTGTTAGTTAATTTCGTTCTCTCGTTCATTTGTATGTGCGATGCCTATAGATTTCAATGCTGAAGTAAGTTTGAGTGCATAGTTGCTGAGGAAATAAACGGTATGGATTCAATGCTGCAAATAACATTAAATGTCACATATGAATAAAAATGCCAGTTTTAGTTATATTAATTGTTTAACTAAATGATATATTTTTAAATAACATCTTAATAAATTAGAAATATTATGTTACATAATCTTACATGCTACAAATTGTACTACTGAGTGACACATGAGTCAGATACACACCAACGCAGACGCGTGCACATTAAGGTTTTGGGTAACACACCCGTGTTAAGAATAAATGTTTTAATTTGCGCTTGTGGCGTGGGGGGAAAGACATTCCGAGACCCTTGTGTATTACACCTATCCTCAAATCCTTCCATAATCTCTGCCTGGCAGGCAAATGTGTGTGTGCAATTTCTGAGGACCTGGATCCCCATACTGGTATAAGTGTAGCACAAGCTTCGAGATTAGAGTTTCCATATGTCCTCTTTTCTCCGGACTAGTCCTCTTTTGGAAGTAAGAAATACTGCCCGGGTGGATTTTTGCCTAAAAGAAAAGCTTTGTTTAATAACATACTTAAAAGTTCAAAGCGTTTGTTGCAAGGTTCAAAACAAATATTTAATTGATGAAGGATATTTCATCATACACGAAACATTTCTGGTATAAAAGTGGAAAAAATAATAATGATAATGAAGTAGGCCTATTGTGTGATCGTGAAAGTGATGTCAATGACTGAAGTATTTCTTTGTTCAGTAGTACTTTATCTTTAAGATAAATAAAATATTATATTAAATTATATTAAATATTATATTAAAACAATTTATTTGAAGTGTCCTATTTTTTATAAGAAATGTCCTCCTTTTATAATAATGGAAGTATGGTAACCCTGCTCGAGATGGGCAGTGGGAAAATGCGTAGAGGCACAGAGACGAGAGACATCATTGCGATGTGCAGGAGAGCGAAGATACTCTTCATTGACAACGCCCCCAGAGGTGAGGTAGCTATCCTTGGGCGGAGGGGCAGATATCCCTGAAAGACTTTTTAAGCGCCATTAGAGGGCAGCTAGGAAGAAGTTGAGTCAAAGCCGAAAAGCCAGTCCAGACTCAAGAGAATAGGAAAGTACAAGAAAGTCAGGCTATTCTGTAGCAAACCTAGTTTTCTATTTTTAATACCAATCTCAACACATATATTTAAAAATTACCTCCTTATATTTCACAATAGAATATGAACATAATGCCTGTCAGGTTGTGGGTGAAAATTTCAAAAATAAGTAAAGAATATTGATAGAGAAGATTGAAAGAAATATTGATAAAGAAATAAAATATTAGATTTCATTAATAGTAATAAAATTACATATTACCTGTAAGTAGAAACGTTTTTGAAAATAACTAAACTTTCTACTAGGTACAACGAAAACTTTGATGGTCCATTGGCGAAATTTGAGGTGTCTTTGCCCGCGTGGAAAGTGCCTTCGGCACAGAGAGCACATGCACCGCGGAGCAGGGGAGGCGCAGAGCGCGTTCTCTGTGATCACGGATCACTTTCATCTCCACTGAGCACGCTCCCTTTTTTCCTGCCGCCGCCGGCTGCGTGGTCACTGCCCGACAAGTGGCTGAGTGGAGACTGCTTGTTAGTACTCGAGGCACGCACTTCGCTAAAAGTTGGGAACAGTTTACAGGAAATGTTCAGATGAGTTGTGACTTTGTCTGAATGTTGGCACTTATCGTAAAATGAATAACAAATATAATAATCGCGAGGAAAAATTTTTCAAGATTATTCAAATTCTCACTTAAATGTAACATGACATCATAGGAATAATATTGTTCTTCACGCTACGAATGATGGGTGTAAAACCATTAGAATATCAATTTGCCAATGGTAATGAACTCAGGTGACTTTCTTTGAAAATTATGTCTCAAAATGTAATTTAGACTGGTAACTAGTTAAGACAAATCACTATTTTGCTTACGTTATGATTTACTGTACCTGTTATATTACAATAACATCCACTCTTTTCAACCTATTACTCAAAGGTCGATGTGTTGCATTGATTCTACATTAAATATTTGTTATCAGCTATGTTGCAGTCGTCTTTTTATCTTTATTGACTTTTCTGAAGAGATACAACTTCAGGTGAAGAAACACTGACTCACTTCTGACTCAGGCTCTCTGAAGTAATTTCAGATAAATTCCTTTGCAGAGCATTAAAAAATTAAAAGGAACATAAACTTTTTTATCGTGACAGAAATGATTTAAAACGTGCTGCTATTGAATAAATAAACTCCAACTAAATTCCAACATACAGTATTCATGTAACCTATGTCCGTGTATCTATATCTGTGTGTCCTGCCGTTTATCAAGGTTATCTGTTTCATCATCACTTATTCAAGGGGCGTGTGGTGATATTCGATGTGTCGCAGTCTAATGGTGGGTAAAATACCTTTTTTAGAATCTACAGAACTTTCTAATAAAATTCACGAAAAAACGTATTTTGGTGAACTTAAATGTTCCTACTCATTAACTATTTTGATCAAGAGTTTATTTGATTCCTCTCCACAAGACGAATTCCAAAGAACTCGTTTTATCTGTATTGTACTGGAATATTTTAGAAGAACGTGTTTGTGAGAATTTCAGGACACCTGTAGTGGTGAATCGCAATGAATTGCCGTACTTCCTTTCTGGCATAATATGAATCTTAATTCATAGGATGATGTAATTAATACTAATTTCGTAGTGAAACAAAAAAATCATACTTTTTATACAACTTTCAATGCGTGATGACGCAAGACCAGGTAAATATATCACGTTAAAAATGTATTTATTTGCAAACTTCCATAGTTGAAATAAAAAATTGTTATATAAATATTCTGACTGAGACCCCATAATATTTACATAAAAAATAATTCAACTCAACGGATTTGGGTTAACCTGCACGAAAGATAGAAATCATTGCACAAATAAGAAAATATATAACTTTATTGTCATCCTACAACACTTATTGCAATCACAATAAGTCAACATTACATTTAAAAACATTAAATTATGTCATGTGCTAATAATTACGTAAGTATTTATCAATATTGGAGAGACTAGGAATGGAACTTTTGCTTTAGCAATCAAGATTTGCTAACGACCGTCTGCGATAGCTGTAATATTGTGATGTATATTGTGAAATGTATTGGCTACAATGGTTGATGTCAATTGGACAGTATATGACAATCGATTGTTTCACAGTCGCTCGTCGAGAACTTCATCATCCTGAGGCGTCTCGGCGTCGTCGTTGATTTGCGTCATTTCCGGAAGCCTCTTTAGCTGAGACGGCATCTTGAACGGCATCGGCGTTTCTAACGACGGGGGTAAATCACCCGGAGAGTCTTCGTCTTCTTTCTCTGCAAATGTCATATTCTTTAATGCAATTCTTCCTTAAAAGCCTTGTCAGCGGAGAAGCAGATGAACACGCCAAGCATACTGCAAGATATCGAGAATCCTAAGAGCGTAATGCCTTGCAAAGAAAGATGGAGTTCATAAAATTGGAAGCTGATATGGTCTTTGTTCTTTGTTCGAAATTGAAATATGTCACATTCAGCACGTGCTAAATGGAATAGATTGACGATTAGTTTTTCTAGGAGAGATTACGAACGTCTTATGGAATACCTCTTGCAAAGGGCCACTAAACCAAATTAATTTGGTTTCACAAAACATAAACATATATCCTGAGTAAAGATAGTTAATGAAAAATGAAATGATAGTTATTCCTTAGTTGTTTTCTAGGGATGTAAAATAAATAAAAATTAAATAAAACTACTCGCGAAGTTACTCATGTAAAACTCGTACATGGCTTTTATTTGATTCTAAACGTCTTAACACACTGATGTCAATTACATAAGGCAAAAATTTTTTTTTCTCCTATATCACTGTTTATTTTTTCTTCTTAAGGTATTGTTATCCATAAAACATACAAAAATAAAAAGGGTCGTCAATCTGATAAGGGTGACAGAAAATATAAAAAAGTTTCTATAAAAAAGCAAATGAAAAGATAGAGAATGATAGGTTCATGACAAAATTGATTTGTTGTAACTTGATAAATTAAGACACGAGGGACTTCCAAATTCTAGTTCAGTATCCAAGATCAATATCAGTTACGAAAAAAAGAAATTGAGTACTCCAAGATCGCTGAAAGAACAAAAATAAACTTATTTCGCTTCATTCTTACCAAATATGACTTCCTCAAGTGCCACAAACGGCGCCTCGAAAAGTAAAGCAAGTGGAAGCGTCCAAGCAATAGACATCACAAGTACACCGACGAACGCATTAACCTACAATTAATACACAGTGTATTAGGGACTTGAAAAAGTAATTAATATACATGTATTTGTAAACTCACTTAAAATACTGCTAATAGACAATGAGGATGTTGATATAGCTGCAGAGAAATACATAATGTACGCAAGTACCATTGTCAGATCGGAGAGGTAGATAGGAGTCCTCGCACTGCCCCAAATCAGGTGAATGACAGACATGTGAGTCAGGTAGATCCCATACGACAGGCGCGCTGCCGGGCGGAAGAAGGCGGAAGAGAGCAGGGCGTTGACGATACCTAGTGACAGGTTCCCATTCGATGCACTTTTAGTGTTTTAAAAATTATGTGCTTAATTGAGTATTATAATGTGTGAAATGCGCATTGAAGCTCCATCAATCATTTGGTCCCTAAGCCTACCAATTAATGCAGACAATAGCACGATTCATCAATACAGAACGTAATCATTGGACTGAAGCTGCGGCTACAAAACATGAAAAGCCCTTCGCTTACTTACGAATAACGGGAAATAATTATGAATAATTAATTTACGTACATATTAATTCGTTACGACAATATTAAAAAGCACAGAATAAAATGAAAAATCTGAGGCAATCACCTTGTGGTCTGTTGAACCTGAAACAATCGCTCTAATTCCGTTGAATTAGGAAAGAGAGCAATTTTGATGAATTAAGCTGAAAAGTTGAAACGATCAAAAATTCACCCAGAGTATTGCAGTAAATGATCAAAAAAACTTTGCAATACACTGGTGAGAGATACCTAGTAGGGGGAAACCCCGCCAGCCGATGGTAGGTCGATGCCAGATCTCGCCCTCCAGCAGGAGAGGATCACCGCCACGACGATGAAAAACATGCACTGCACTTACAGGATACATTATCAGTTGACGCACCCAGAATCGCAAATAATCAATCAATCAATCAATCACAAGCCTAGAGCTGATCGCGCTCGACAGACCCTTTCTCCCTCCATCAGGCTGACTGCACTGGTAAGTGCTGGGCCATGACATGCCAGATGGACCGCCTGCTTCAGCAGTTCGATCCTTGTTTGGTTTTGTGTAGATCTGTTCACACTTTATAGATATATAAATATAAAGCGTGCTCTATATCACAATGCGTACTAAAAGCACCATAATACTTTGCTATACATTAATGTAAATTTGAACTTAGCGCAATATAAACACACCAATAGAAATAAAACTATCAAAGGAACAATTCAATCTTCCTTATTATATTGATCATTTAACTAAAATAATTAAAGATGTTGTCATTGCCAACAATGTTTTTTAATTCAAAAGCAGCTTTCGATGGCTTAGCCATCATCATCAGTTGTCTGATACAAGAAGAAAAGCACAGAAAAACAAAAACATTAAAACGTGAATTAACAACAAGATTATGATAAAGGTTACAATAATTTACAATTTTTTTGGAAAATATATTTGACAACGGAAGAAAGAAAAAGTGGGGGGTTAAGCAATTAATACTAAAGAAAAGCGAATGAAAATAGAAATAGGACACGTAAAAATTATTTTTATACAGAAAAACATAGAAATGTAAGTTGAGCCGTTCCTTACCTGCTAGATGGAAGCCACAAAACGACTACGCGGGATCGGGCGAGCCGAGGGGCTTAAGTACCTTTGAATTAAAAAACATTGTTGGCAATGACAACATCTTTAATTATTTTAAAAATGCCAAAGATATCTTACCACAACACCTATATTTAACTAAAAACCTATGCAAAGCATCAAGTTCGTAGTTTTCCTCTTTGAAGAACAGAAATTGTATCGCAATTCTGTTAAATGAAATAAAGGATATACTTGTAAGTAGACTGAGACTCGTGTTCTTTGAACAATAAGACAAAATATCTTGAGAGTCTGTACACACAAGGTACTCAATAAGAAGCACGAATCTGTACATGATATTCTGAAATTTTAAAGGAGTTAATTATAAATCATTTCCTGTTTGAATAAAACTCCACTTAAACTTAGAGATGCAAACGTACGACCTAGCCAAATGTCTCGTTCTCCCGCTGCTTCATTTCGTTGTTTTCCCAGCAACCCACTCAATCACCGACGCGCTCTAAAGCGGCGTCTTTGTCTCTTTCGGAAGCAGTTTGTGCGCAGGCGCGGCGGAGCCTTACCGCCGTGCCCTCGCTCGCAGGCGTAGACGACCGACGCGACGCCCAACGCCCACGCGGGCCTGTGCAGGGCGAGGTAGAAGGCCGCTTCTAATGGGTCGTAGCGGTAATTGTCGCTCTGGAAGGGATACTGGAGGTGAGCGGACGCAAGCAACAGCAGCGCCGCCAGCACCCAGACCGCCGCAGACGCAATCTGCAAGAGAAAGTTTCCGTCGGCGCGGCCTTCCCGGGCGATACTGCCCGTGCACGGCTTTCCCTGGAGGAAGCCTCGCACCTCAGCACGTCGCGCATTCAGTCCAGCCATCGCAATGCCTACAATACTCGTTTTTGCGAAGATTTGAGGGATTAAGGACATAAAGTATCTTGAACTCGTTAGCTATGTACTCGGAGGTGGTGTGTTATGTCCGAGATTACTAGTGTAATTCCGCAATTCAACCTCAACGGATATTCATTTGCTTGTCATAGTGCTGAAGGTAACAATAAAATGGTGACGGGTGAAATCGGGAAACGTTAATTTCGGCAAAATAATAAGCAGAAGAATTCCAGCAACAAATAATATATGATGAAAAAGTTGTTTCCAGTCTTAAAATCTTCCACAAACCAATATGTGTCTAGTACGCGTTTTTTACTATTGTGATTCTACTCCTACTAGAATTTTGATATAGTACATTGTTTAAAAGGGAACAGTCCAATAATATAGACTGACAACCAGTTTTTCTGTATACGCAAATTGAGAAAATACAAATGTTCAAGGAGGAAGATATTTATTTGAAAATGAAACCCATGTTTACATCATTACAGTAACCTGACTTCAAGTCTGTGATCTGTATTAATTTTTTTGTGTGTGTTGAAAATAAAACAAAGTTCAAAATAACTCCTTCAGTAAATCCTGTCTCTAGAAAATATTTAAATTTTGCAATAACTTGAGCAAGTTGTAACATAGGTCAACTACCATCAACAACATCAGTATATAATATTATCCAGCGAAATGGCTCAGTGCGTACCGCGCTGTAACCTCAACCAAGCACCTCCTACCATCATCCTAGTCCTTTCACCTCTCATCATCACCGTATAATAATAATAATAATAATAATAATAATAATAATAATAATAATAATATCATCATCATCCTATCCCCCCTAATTGATATTGAAGGCTAACAACCTTTTCATTACCAAGGAATGTGGCTGAAGGCTGATCCCCATAAATCCACACGTTGATCTCTCCAGGGTAGAATACAACTGGGCCTCGGAGAGAGCAGTGTGTTGCGTGATCAGTAGTGAAGAATAATAATAATTTATTATTTCTGATATAAATTACGTTAGAAAGTCAAACGTCACATTTAAGAGGTCATTGAAAGCATTATAGAGTTGCACAATGAGTCATCGCTGTCACTACGTCAAGAAGATATTAATAACGTCACAAGAATTTAATGAAGCTGAGGACATTTTTCTGTGTGAAGATGCACTGGAACTTACCCAAGACAATTTTTTAGGCTTTGTTTTCTTCTCGCGGTGAAGAACAAAGCCCAGCATTATTCCCACGAGCCACACTGAAAATCTTGTATGGGTAGGTACGTGGTAATACTTTATGTATTTTTCGTATTCTTCAGACCTGAAGTACAAAACAATGTTACATGCATCATTTTACAACATAGTAATTTTAAGTCATTTTTACTGTAGAGCATTAAAAGTAATCAAGTATTACAGAAGACAAACAAGCCTATCTATGTAACCGATATCGCTAAGTCAAACACGCGTTGGCAGTCTCGTTCCGAGAAGTTGCGGGTTCGAATCCAGCTTCGGGTGTGGTTGTCTGATTGTGATTTGTGACATGGTGAAGTTTTCTCGTCCATCGTGCATTACCTTTCTATTCCGTTACATTCATTCCAGGTCGTCCTGGGCTTGGAGTATTTGCGCATATGTGAGCGTTGAATGAGGACTGTGCCTTCTTTGCACATGTACCACACTTGATCCTAAAATCCTTCCTAATCCTGTTCTTAATTCCTTCCCCCCTCGTCGATAAATTGTGCGAGGGATGATAAATCCAGGTACATGATATAATAATCTAAAATCCACAGCGCCAACGCCATCTAAGGCTTGGCTTTTTTCTTTACTAAGAGTCAAGCGCAATTGCGCCCACGAGCTACATTTGCACAACTCTAATCGATATTAGATCAAGAGCTACAACGGAACCCAACTGGTATAAAATCACGGTGGCTGCACCAGTAGAAATAAGTTTCAATGAAAGGGAAGGACGTAACGCAGGAATACAAATACAAAATGGCTAAAAAGGGCAAGTTCAGGTTTATAAAATGCAAAATTTAATGAAATTTGCCCTACGTAGTAGTGCTGTAGTAGAAGAGTATTACAATAGTATGTGATCGTAAAAATTCATAGCTCCTTTGTTCTTATTGACAATATTCACGTCTAGTCGTCACGGGTTGGATGACTACAGATATGATTTCTGATTTGGTTTTATTATAAAATTAAAAATCACGAACGATGTTTTAAATTAAATTGCTCTAAAGTTATTTTGGGTATTTAGGTAGCTGTATCTTCTTTGACGTATTACGCAAGTACATATTAACAATTTTGTCGCAAAATGCTGCTGGTATTTGAAACACTCACGACATGATCCTGCTCCCTGCTCCGATCTTCATCAAGTACACAATGCAGAACGGGGAGACCAAACCAGAAAGAAACAAAGCCAAGATCCAAAACTTGCCTAGTCGTGGTCTTTTCCATAGCGGTATGAGGACAAGAGGTGATAGCCAGTATAATTGCATATCCACAGACAGATACCAGGACTGCGAGAGACACTGCAACATTATTTTTTAAAATTATGAAAATTTTACTGAGACTTACAAAATTGACTTTCAAAGCATAATTATTATGACTAAAATTAACTTTACTTCTCTATATCTTTATCATTTTAATGGTATAACCGACAAGCATGAGAACATTATTCATGAAGTCGTCAGCTTGCGTGACTCGTGTTTTTTCTTGGCAGACAGGGTGACGCCTCATCGTTGTGTTTGCCAACGTGGTATTTTTTTGATCTTCAAATGTCCGTATTCCCTACAGCTCACCATGTAAAAATGGTTGAAACATTAACCAGCATGTATACCTTACTACGTCGCGGGCAGATGAGAACATCAAAGAAAATAAATATGCATAAGATATTGTTATTCGATGAATGTAGTATTACAGGACATTTTATCTAGCAGTTTTGTGCCTACTTTGATACTTAACACTGAAGTTAGAGATGCAGTGAAAGCAAAGTAAATTTTGGTTTGTTTACACGACGATAAGTTTGCTTACTCGTCGACCAGTTTGCTTACAGGGCAGAAAGTTTGCTTCAGGTTATTTGCAAATATTTTTACAGGTTTCAATCTAAGGTAAATATATTGATGAATGACATTTGAAACTATCCAAACCCTTTTGATTTTTTTTTTGTTTTTTGCAAATATATAGAGAAAATTAATTTTTCATGTACACTTTTATCTTGTGAGGGGATAACATTGAACCAGTCATCACAATTTATTATTAGAACTCAATTTACTCACAATTACGAACTTCATTTCGTATTTCGATGATTATTGGTCGCCGAAGAAATGTTCACATAGAATTTGATATTGTACTCAACATGTAAATCATCTTCAAACATGTTAATCATTTTAGAAAAACAAGCGAATTTCGTACAAATTAATGTTTTGGAGAATTTAGAAAATTACATTGAAAACCACTAGCTTATTTAGAGATAATTGTAATTAAAATGTTGAACTTTTCTATTGCTTTTTGGTTACGATCGCAGTTTTAAGATGGCGTAGTTTCCGACCTTAAGTAATACACTGTCACTACTCAAATGGTTGTGTGTAGTACAATTCATAGCAAACAATTATCTTTGGTAATGAAATGTACCCGAGTACATTTCATAGCGGACAATTATCTTTAGTGGTGACGGGTACATCTTTCTTACTCTATTGTTTGCGTGGACGTAATTGCTGACGTGGAGCAGGGTCGCCCACCAGTTGGCCTCGCAGCGAGCGCGCACCTCGTCGTGGCGGGTGTTCCACAGGGGCCCCGCGCCTGCGCGGTTCAGCAGCGACAGGGAGAGGAGCACCATCACCCCCAAAGGGAGTGCGCACCTGCGGCAAGCGCACAGGGGAAGCACAAGGGTCTCATGAAGGGGTTACTGTTGCACAGATAAAATAAAATAAAATTAAATTTATTCATTCAAATGAAGGGTTTACGGCAGTAACAATATAAACCACACAAGCCCCAACCAGTCTCCCGCTATTCGTAGATGTTGATACTTCAATTTTAGTTCATTGTCTGATTGATTTATTAGTGATTCCGGGTGCTTCAACTGTTAAGGCCGTAGATCACCGAGATGGTTGGAGCGTGTAGCGACACATCGCCTCGGTCTGAAGAGTCGCGGGTTCGAGTCTCACCGTGGACATGCTTGTTTGTCCCAAGTCTTTTATATGTACATATTGTTTCTTATATAACTAGGAATTCGGGAAAAGTACAAAACCTTATCTGGTGCTCGCAGAACGTGAAATAACATTATGCAACATCCGGCATTTTGAGAGGTATCTTCGCTTCCGTGAAAAACAATGAAACAGCATTGATTTTTGTAGAGAGATGTAAATATTTGATTGTGTTATTTTACTTATTCTATATTGCGGGTGCCGACTTAGTTATCACATACAGTGAATTACTACATATGTCACTGCTGACGTCGTGAAGCAGCAAGACCGTCCGTCATTACATTTTTGGTATTCGGTGTGGCAAAATAGAGTAGCATCTCTCTTGATATTATTTGCATTTTAATAACTATTTTACTGAACATATTTTGTATTATTACATTGCAGTATCCGTGAAGACTGTTTTTATTCATTATCGTCGGTTTCAGATGTTAGAATTTCTCATGTTTAGCTAACTTTTATTGATATTTGAAAGGGTCAGTTAGAAATTAGCATACTTATTGCAAACCCTAATTACCACTTTTGTTTACATTCTCTCGTACACATTTAAATTCAGTGGTTGAAGTTTTATCTTAAAATAATTCAGCATTGAACCATTATTGGAAAGTGGTAATATTTCTCTCAAAGGCAGTTGGCAAAATAAATATTTCGTACATAATACATTTGTCCTTAGTTTGAAGGCTGTAGGGACATAATCATTCTTACAATCATTACCTTTCATTATATGTATTAATTCTACAAAATAATATTCTATTGCGAAATAAAACAAGTTAATTTCAATGAAAAGGAAATTTAAAATTAAATAGCTGTAA